GCAGGCAAAGTTAGAATCTCAAATAAAAATTAAAAAAGAAAAACGAAAAAAAGACCGCACAGTTTCCCCTTCCTTTGACAGCATTTCTTCAAAACAAAAATCCTCTTCTCCGTCTTTATAAAAGTTCAAACCGCCCCTTCCCTTCTCTAAAATCTTCTTTTACAGTCTCTCCCTCTCTCTCTCTCCTCTCCCTCTCTCTATTTTTCTTTCTTTCTTTCTTTCTTTCTTTCTTTCTGTCTTCCACAATGGCAGAGCACTTGACTCAACTCTGTCAATTTCTCTTCGAAGAGAAGCCATCGCCTAGCGATCTTACTCCCAGGCTCCGCTCGGACGATCTCATCAAGCTAGGGCTCGAGCACTTCTATCTCATCCTCAAGAATGGCGTCTCACCGATCGGAGATAGCGGAAAACTAGGGTTGCATTCGTGGTCCGATTCGGAGATTCAGTTTGTAGCTTCAATTGGCCACGCCATCACTTTCCTTTCTCGATCTTTATCAGGTAGTTACCAAGACTGATCTTCTTTCACTGTTTCTCTATTTTTCACTTTTTTGTTTTGGTTTCTCTAAGTAGTTTAGCTGAAATGATAAATTTAAATTGGTTTTGGTTCTGAATACGAGGGAAGTGGTTTGCCGATTGTGGTAGATCAGCTTTTCTACTTATTTTCGCGTGTTTACTAAAAGATGCTAATCGAGAAGCACTTATTTTTTTATTCATCTCTACCGTTATTGTTTTTGAATTATATTATTTTTATCTGAGGAATTGCATGGTTGGAATGCTTCTGACATATCTGATAAAAACTTACGGTTTTCTTGTTTCGGAAGCAAGAGGCAAGCGTTTTCTTGACGGAAACCTTCAGTAATTCTTGATTGGGGATATTCAGTTGGTGTCCTTCCTTTATCTTTGTTTGTCATCTTTCATTTCTTGAGTGAGGGCCTAATTTTTTTCTTCGGCTGGGAAATAATTTCTTCTATCGAAGCGAGAAAGCAAAAGAAAATAGTAGAAGTTTTTATTATTTACTATATGAAAAAATATGTCTTATTAATAGAGGGAGAAATTTCTATTTTCTTATTGGATATTTGGATGTGTAATTATTTGTTTTTTGTTTATGTCAGTGGACCAAGTGGAACCCATAGTTGTTGCGGTTGTTCAGCAATTTCTTGAGTTTGCTGTTTGTTATTTGGAGAAGTTGGAGTTCTATGGTGATGATTTGAGCCTACAGGTTTGTATGTGTGTGCGTGTGTTTTTCTTTGTTTCCTTTCTTTTGGAGTCATTTTGATGGTGCACAGCAGTAGCTATACATTTAACTTGCTATGTCAATTTTTACTTGTAGTGTTATGATTTATACATTTATTTAGTTATAGTAATCTT